TGTGTTTGCAATTTATGCATGTTCATTGATTTAAATGGCCAAAAATAACAGGAATATGCTTTGACTTCAGGGAAGTAAGTTAATACAGATTCTTTCATGGGGACTAGTGGTGGTTATGTGCATAGTCGCACCTCAGAGACCCACCTTGAGGATAAAACCATACCCACTTAAACCTCCTGACAATCAGCCATTATGAACCAGAAATGATGCAGTTTTTCTTGACTTGGATGATAAATGATCAATTGCTTGATCTCTAGGACTGGTTTATGTTTTGGGGAAATATACTTTAAAAAAAAAAGAAGTATATTAAAATATGACACATTAAGTAACACACAGCTTATTTGGATATTTAGTTTCCATCACAAGATAAAACAATGATTTTCCAAACACAGGACCCAAATCTGTAACTGTACCTATTAATTACAATTTGTCTGCGGTCTTCAAACGAGGTGACTGGTTTTGACTTGTGAGTGCACAAAAATGTGGACAGGCGTCTTTTGCCTGGCAGTTAGTTTGTACTGTTGAGGTGTTGCCTCTGACCCTGGAGCCTGATTGGCAGCTGTAAAAATGTCTTCATAGAAAAAGGATAAGTGTGATAAAATAGGGACTATTTAACCTTTCTCCCTAATTTATGAGGTTGTCACTAATGAGTCATTAAGGAGTCAGGAAGGACCTGAAATTTAGAAAGTCAGTTTTCCAGTCTTTGAAAGGTGGAGTGAAGAAACATGGCAGAGATCCAGGGGTGAATTCAGCGCTCAAGGTGATTTAGACACGTAGGCACCTGACCTGTCTCCCAGGAAAGTGGCTTTAGCTGCGTCTTTGGCAGGCAAACACACCACCCAGCTGCATTCACTTTCATGGTCGCCGGTCACCACTTGGCACATCAAGATCTCACGACCTTTGCACCCATATTTTAGATAACAGATCTTTCTGTGGTAATAATGCGCTCATGTAAAAAATCCACTGGGCTTCTGATCATCTGCATCATATTATATCACTCTATATTTCCTCCAATAATGACCTCCGTTGTAAACATAAAGCTGAGCAAAGTCCTTCTGAAAGCAAGTCCCACCTCGGTGCTCATTTCACTTTTTGGCTTTTCAGTAGTTATTTGGATGTTTTTGAAATGTTATAAATATTAATTACCATTTTATGAAGTGAATTATGAAAACTGTAGAGAGTCAGAAGTCAGTGAGTCAGTTCAGGTTTCTCTGAATGCTATAATATCTTTGACTTTTAATGCCTCTGAGCAAAATGACTTCCTAACTGACAATATCAGTAAAAACTAGAAAAATGTCTGAGTTTCACGAATACCAGCAAAACTGTTTAAATAAATTACACTACTTTCAAGCAGTGCTCACTGCTCAGTTATTTGATGCACATTAAAAAGACATTGACCATTATTGTTCTTTTATTTGCTTATTAATTAGAGAGATTTGATAGCAGCGGCACCTGATTAATAGGTTTGATATTCACTATATTCAACATAAATGTTGTAGTAAACACAAAGTGTTTACAGTTTTGCAGCTATACAGCCACAAAGGTACTGATCATGAAAACTAATTCTCAAAGCATCCTAGTTAGGGCATTAGTAAATGATCCAAATTATTTATTGAACCAA